GGCTTTTAAATATTTAACATTGGTTGGTAGCTCGGTTCCTTCCGAACGACTTTTTTCACAAGCCGGTCAAATCGTTACTCAGCAAAGGAACAGATTAGAAGGATATAGACTAAACAAACTATTGTTCTTGCAAAGCATTGATAAAAAATACTGGGAAACATAAAATTGTATTACCTTGTATCAATTTCTTATTAATTCTACATAAGTATTTATACACATATATGTATATACGTATTATATGAAATACAAGCGTGTTTTCTGAAATTCATATGAGATTATCTTAAATAATATTGAAAGGCGTTTAGTGTATTACAATAATGAGTTTGTAAAGTATTCGTACTCATAAAAATAATTTTTTCACTTAAATATATATTTAGTTAGCAAAATTGTACAAATTTTCAGTTATAGCTGAGCTAATTATGTTACTAACGGGCTCTTGAATCAGGTCAAAAATCAGATAAAGAAACGTTTTTCTAAAAAACTAAACCATATTTTTTATATAAAAATTATAAATTTATGAAAAAGTTGTTGACCTGATTCAGCAGTCTGTTGGAAACATAATTAGCTTAGTTATAGTAAGTTATGTGGAATTGTGTACAATTTTGCTAATTAAAAAATTAAAAAATCCTATGCAAATCGATGCATCGATGTATGCCCTCCGATGCATCGAAAAATATCGATGTACATTTCGATGCATCGAATCAAAGAAATACATCGATGTATTTTTGCCACTGGCATCCTTAAAGCATCCACTTTGAGCAAACAATTTATCAATTACACCTTTTGCTTAGTACCTCTGCTTCCATTTATCAAGTCAACCAGTGCTTGCATTGAAATTTTCATCGCCAAATCGCTTTGCAAACTTGATTGCCTTACCCTTTAATAATGCCCCGGACATTGGCATGTTTTGATTTCTAGCTGCCGGAAACCATTCGAATACCGCTTTGTCCACACTTTTAAAAGTTGGTTTTTTCATTCTTTTGTTATATCCAGAAGCAGCACCAGCTGCCATATTTTTCAGCCACTTCTTTATACTTTTTCCCACTTTCAATTTCTTTGATTAGCCAAAATTTTTCTTCAATAGACAAACACTTCAAAACACGTTTCGACGCCATGCTAATATTAAGTCTTTACTCTACGAAGCACAGTATACCAGTATAAAAGGTTTTTGTTTTTGTAGCTGCTTCGTGATGAAAGTCCTTTATGGGGGCCAAATTTCCCCACAAGAAGTTTGATCGGAGTTAATATATTCTACAGTAATTAATCATATTATATTAAAACATAAGCTTATGAGAAATTATTTAGTCTTAAATGCATAGTTCGCTCCGTGTTCCAAAATATGCTCCGAGCGCGTTCACTGTTGATCATTTGATTTAAATAGTTTGTCAAACAATTAATGCTATAGTTTGATCGGAGTTAATATATTGCTCAGTAATTAATCATATTATATTAAAACATAAGCTTATAAGAAATTATTTAGTCTTAATATGCATAGTTCGCTCCGTGTTCCAAAATACGCACCGAGTGCGTTCACTATTGATCATTTGATTTAAATAATTGTTTCTCAAGTATTCAGTACTATAATTTGATCGGAGTTTATATATTCTTCAGTACCTGATCCCATTTTATTAAAATATAAACCTTTAATAGGGTAGAAATTGTGAAATTATTTAATTTTAACGGGTATAGTCTGCTAGAGACAATTGAAAAAAACTGCAACTACTCGTGAAAACATACATTAAAAGCAATGTAGATGAAGGTAATAAATATTACTATTAAAAGTAGATCCATATAAATAACATTTTACACCAGTTATTTGAAGTAAATCGGAATATATTTTTGCATATCTATAACATAGTTTTCATATAACTCGTAAAGTACATATTTCATCACAAATATTTTTAAGATCATTTCGAATTTTAAAAATAGCGCTAATTAGTTGTATTGAAGTATAAAATTTTTTTTTTTACGTTCATGTTTACTTATAAACCTCATAATATTTCTCTCGCCATTTAACCGATGTTAAAATTTTTCACCACGTTATTTTGCTGCACAGCACCCTGAATGCGGCAAAACAGCTGCTCGCAACCCTCAAGTCCTTTAAGGCCCGTCCACATAGAACTTTGGCGTTGCCTTGGCGTTGGCGTCGCTTCAACAGCTGAGTATGAATACATGAATTCAAATGCAGCCGTCCACTTAGCCAAAATTCGACAACGCTCACGCCAACACAAAGCAAAAAGATGGCCAACTCTCAACTTTTCGCGTGCGTCCCTCGTCAGCTGTTGCAAATAAATAAAATTATGTGAAATATTTTTCCTTTTTAATCCAGTGCGGGCAAGAAATATCGTTTTTAATGCAATTATTGATATGAAATATTAATTTATCTGTCGTTAGTATGTTAATTTAGTTACCCAAGCATTTGCTGCCAAGTGTTCATTGTAGCAAGCATACTTTTAACAGTTCCGAATTCTCTGACCCGTATACAATTAAATTGCTTTTCACTACCCTTGTTAGATCTAGGTTAGAGTACGCCTCATTTATCTGGAGGCCATATCATGCATGTTACGTTAACCGCATTGAAAAAGTTCAAAAGGTGTTTATCAGGTTTGCTCTTCGAACCTTGCATTTTAATGAACCTATTCCTTCGTATCTTGCTAGATGTAAGCTCATTAATTTAAAATCGCTGGAAAGTAGGAGATCGATTCTGTCACTATCTTTTGTATTTGATATTATTTCTGGACGGGTGGACTGTGCCCCCCTCCTTGAACGTATTCGTTTTAATGCCCCACTTAGAAATTTACGTCATTTTGAGTCATTTCATATAGGCCCGGTAAAAACTGTCTATGCATTAAACGCTCCTATCACAAGAGCTCTATGCGATCTTAATCGCATCGAAAATTGTATTCATATTGATTTTACAGCTTGTAAAAACGACTTTTTGAATTTGTTATCTTCTATTTTGGATTAATTTTGTAAATTTACTTTACTTTTCTTTTTAATAGTCTGTAAGAATATTTGATGTATTCATTGGCTAAATTAAACAAATAAACAAACAAATAAACAAAGAGGCTATTCAAACTGATTAACAACGTTACACAAAGAAAAGCGAAAAAGAAAAAAAGCACTTGCTTAGCAAATAAGTACTTCTCCGAATAATGCTGTAAACACATAAAGGGCTTGTGGCGTGTGGCGTGCAGCCTGTCAAATTAGAATACACGTAAAGCACATGCGCCGAACACAATCCACAACACAAGCCAGGGTTGTCGTGCGATTGCACACCAAGCTGTAGACGGACAATTTCTATTTTCTAATTTGACAGGCGTGCGAAGAGAAAATGAGAGAATATTTGCTCTCTGTTGACATTTCGCTCAAAAATTCAAATCAAACGGCTTTTGATTTATTGTGCAAACGTTTCCAAATATATTTATTTTATTTATTTAAAACAATGGATTCCGATGAAATTTTAATTAGCGAAGTGCAAAAATATCCATTTTTGAACAACCTTTAGGATGAGGGGTATGAAAATGCTCTGAAAAAGGAGGAAGTGTGGTTGCAGATAAGCGAAGTATTGGGCCAAGAAGGTAACGATTTGTTTTTTTTTAATTCTAAAGATTTTCACCGAGATATTATTTATTTCACAGCTAATGTATGTAAAAAGCGCTGGAAAGGTTTGCGCGACCATTATTCGCGGTGCAAACGGGCCGAGACTTTGCCATCAGGAAGCTCCGCTAGCAAGAGGACGAGATGGAGGTTCTATGACCAAATGTCATTTTTGGACAACTTCCAGTACTGCCGGAGGTGAATATAATTACATTTCTTATATACGAGTATATGTATATGCACATATATGTATGCGTGCAAGTGATAAATCTGTATTTATATAAATTTTTTACTATTTTAAGAACGTGGAGCATTGTTTCCGAAGTGGAGGAAAGTGTTATTGAAGTGCAGGGAGAAGAAGACGAAGTACACACAGCAACACCACGCCAATCGCGACGCAAACACGACATGGTATGTACGTTTATTGTTATAAGCAGGGAAGACAATTTTAATGATCATATAGTAAAGTTTTTTGTGCATATTTTTGTCTTCCCTAGTTACAAGTGTATACGTGCCAGAAATCTGAAAGATTATTTTTTCCTTAGATTGATGACGACTTTAGTTTTTTCCTAGAGGAAACTTCAAGTTCCCTGAAGGAAACGTGCGACACATTTGCTGCCGCTGCAAATAGCATTACAATCGCAAATACTAATAATGTGCAAAATGCTTCCGCGAGTATGTTTCAAGGAATTGCTCAAATCATTACGGCACACAAGTTTAACCCGCAGGAAGAAGCGACGTTGGTGGGAAAAATTACCACATATGCTTTGAACGAAATAGCAAAAATGCGAAAGGAAAATTAAATTTATTACATCGAAATCATATATAATTAGTGAGTATGTATATTAAAATAGAAAATGTTGCTAGTATCAGTTATGTACTTNCGAAATCATATATAATTAGCAGGGAACGGATTTTATGGAAATCCCCTTTTTTTCTGCTAAAGAGATAGAGTATATTCGATTAAGAATGTCCAC